ACGTTGAAATGCTTTATTTTTATTTTATTTTTTCCATTTGTTTTCTATTTTTTTATAGAGTTGAGAAGATGAGTTTTTGAGTTTCAATTTATAGGCCATCAACACTGAAAGTTGAGAAGATGGGTTTGGGGGGTTTGGGTTTCGCTGTGTAGGTGGTGGTGAAGCCTCACCTTGGACTCAAGACTTTGTTCTTGGTTGAATATTTCAGACGGAAAAGATGTGGTTTCCCAGCTTGAGAAGAAGGTGAGTGTTCCCGACGATAAGTCACCTCTAAGTATAACACATCATCTCCACGGTAGAGCTTGGCAAGCTCATCCCCACCACTACTGGCCACACAACTTGTCCATCACCATTCTCTACACCTATGGCAGTTTCGTCAATACCCATAACATTCCCGCCTAACTCCCGCATATCACAATATCTGCATGAAGAACAATTATTATTAGTTTATTTTCTATGGTGTTTTAAGTATAGACATATGAAAGCATGTACTTTAGGCCATCTCCAACTGATTCGGCTAGAGGGTCGAAAATAGCTCGAAATGACACGAAAACCGTCTCGAACCGAGGGCTAGGCCAAAGGGCTCGTGGGCCCCATCAGGCCAAAAAATGAGAAAAAGACTAACCGGCGGCCCAACCCAGCTAGCCAGCTGGCCCCGGGCTGGGCTAAACATTTGAATGTAACGACTAACTGACATCAGTTGACCGTTGGGTTTGAAATTTTTTTTTTTAATTCCCATTTTTTCCCTATAAATACCTAAGCCGTTCCTACACCATTTCTCGCATAATTTTCACCATTCCATACTATCTCACTTCATTCCATTTCAATTCATCACGTTATGTTTTCTTACCTTTTCCAATAATCCTTCCTTCAATTTTTTCAATAATTTTCAAATGGCCACATTTGCAATGAAAGGGTAGGGCTTGGACCCGAAAAGAAGATGAAGTTCTTTGCAGGGTTTATAGATGGGTCTTGGAAGATAGTGTGAGAGGGAGTTCTCAAACAAGTGAGTTCTACAAAGGCACCACTCCACTGAATACTCGAAACCACGAGAGTTGTTCTTCAAGATGGAAGAAACATCTTCATCTAAGCTTGAATAAATGGCATCAAGCACTGTTAACAGCCACAAGTAGACATGAAAGCGACGCTAATTACAACGAGGAAGTAAGTGTTTTCACAATTTATTTTAAATATTTAATTATATTACATTTAATTTCATAAATTAATTTCCTTTAATTTTTGTAATTATATTTTCTAGGTACGCCAAGCGGAGAAATTGTATATAGAGGGCAACTCGAAACCCTTTCAGCATCACGGTTGTTGGGAAATTTGTAAATGGTGGGTGTTATTTGAAGATCCACCTGAACATAGAATAGGTCCTACATCGGTGTTTGGAACTGCATCCTCAGCTGTAGATGGTGATGAAGATGAATCTCCTACCATTCATGAAACAAGGGTAGAAAATCCGTCTTTAGGTGAAGGTTTCATATCTAGGGCTATGGGACAAAACAAGGCTCGAAAATTGAAGGAAAAGGGCAAGACAAAGGATGACATCGCCTTTCAACAGGAAATGACAACCTCTTTGCGATTAATGGCGGAGCAAAATGCCATTGCTGCGGAAGAAATGAACCATAGGCATGAACAACGGGCCAAACAAATACAAGAAGAGATGGATGATAAGAATATGCAAAGGAACACTTCGGATTACACTCCAATAAGTAAGGCCTATTTTGATAGGAAAAAGAGGGAAATTATGGCCTGACGACAGTTGTTTACCTCCGACTATACTCCTACAATGACAGATGAGATGATGATGATTATAGATTTTAAATTTAAGTTGTAGTTTTTAAATTTAAGTTGTTGTAGTTTTTAAATTTAAATAATAAATTATGTTTGGCCCTATGACTTTTTGGCCCCCTCGATTGGAGATGGTTTTTTGTCACTGGACTATGTTTGGCCTATAGCCCTTTGACCCCTCGGTTAGAGATGGTAAGAAATATGGCTCTGCATTGTTTATTAAAATATTAATTTCTTGGAGGGCTATAGGGCTAAAACGAGTCATCTGACTCTCATTCGGTTAGAGATGGCCTTATGCTTATGCAAATACAATCATGGGGACATGGATATCAAGAAAGTATATGGAAGATTCATAAACATGTAGAAATTTCACCAAATTATTCAATTGGGATTTTATTTTTTAAATGGGTGTAAAGATAAATTCACATTTTAAATTGGGTTGTGAGGGTAATTTAGGTATAAAATTGGGTTTAAAGAGATATTAATTCTTTCATTAAATAATATGGGTGTAGAGAGTAAGTTGGGTGTAGAAAAAGGTTATATGGGTTCAAATAAAATTTCCCCTGATTAATTTGGTTGGAGTTACTTTCTCTATATTCTTTCTTGATGTATAGAAATCACGTAGACTATACAATTGTCAATGCATCCCATATTCTAATTTTATGGATTTCAAGTGTCTACTTTTTCAGTTTTCATTTAAATACCATCATTCTAAAATGTAAGGTCTTAAAAGGCGCTAGTTAGGCGGCATGTAAGGGTCGGCAGGAGTCTAGGTGGTTTTTTATTTTAATTAAATTTATTATTTAACATATAATAAGTGTTTACTTATAATTAAAAATACATAATTGTATTAGAAAACATAAATTACAAAATAGAATGGTATATATATATATATATAAATTATAAAGTACTAGAACATATTGAAAACAATGGGAAATAAGCATATAATGCATGTTTATCCAAGTATCCAATAAGTCTCCTACAATTTATTGAAAACAGAAAATACAAAATATTTTTTTGTCTAAACGAAAGTTGCGACACTACGTGATTTTCTTAAATTAAAAAAATAGCATGCCTTGCTCACTTATGTCCACCTAGGCGGACAGTTTTGCCGCCCCTTCTTATTTTTTAAAATTTCTGCAAAGATGGCCTCTAAAAAAATAGTAACATTAGACTGTTTAGATCTTGAAATCATTATAATAGCATTGAACCCTCCCCTCCTTAATAATAATAAATTGAGAAACTGTTACGGAGACTCTCTTAAAAATGTGACTTTCTATGGGATTTGTGTCATCTCATGTGTTTGACACAATGTTTTATAAGGGAGCTTTTGCTCACCATCATAACTATGGTGTATGCTTACCATACACTTAATTATTTGTCATGTATCATTTCATCTAACTGTAGTTAACTTTCATATTAATGTTAGTTTTTCAATTTTGAAAAAAAATTAACCAAGATTAAGTGAAAGACACATGTCAGATGATTAGGTGTATGATGAGCATACACTAAAATTTAGGATGGTAAGCAAAAATACTTTCTATTTTATAATGTTAGCATAAAAATTTACGGTGAATTATAAAGTAGTAAAAACACAATGAAGAATCTTGAAAGAATCTCTTTAGCGTTTCTTTAATAGGTTTTAATCATTGAGACCCATCATGGAGTACTCTACGTTGATATCCCTCAAATACGAGATCATTGAAGTTCCCTCTATAAAAAGTTAAACATACTGCAATGTATTATGTGACACATGTTCATATAGCATTGAATGTGCTGAGGATTATGATATGATGGTCCCAAACCTAAACTACAACGAGAACACGTGTCCATCTTGGCCATCTCGAAAAAAGATAAACCAATCAGTTTGACATATGTGCCTCACAACCGTCGGATTAATACTTGATCTGTGAATCCTGATATAGATCATGGGATCGTAGGGTTTATATCGATGGGGCTTGCAAAGAGTCGAGATGAAGTTGAAAAGCTCATGATGATATACATATGGATTTTTCGAATATTGAGATTAATTATTACTTGCAAACCCAACCCACATAAAAATCATGCACGAATCACGAGGATTGGCGTTTTAATTGATCCAAAGCCTTCAAGCCCCTTCCCCACCAGAGAAAAAGATCAGCAATCAATAACAGTACTATGGTAATAAATACTAATTAATTGGAGGACTTCTTAAATAATAATAATAATAAAATACATGCAGTAAAATTTCATAGTCAAAGTTAGTTTAATATTTTAATTTTTATTTGAAGATTATTCATACAAAAATCATTTCAATCGAAAGTTATTTAGTTATTCAAATATATTGTAGATGTACCATTTAACATATTTGTGATAAATCGTTTATTTGTTTGATATGTTTGGATGATTAAACTATCCCAAATTCAAAAATTTTTTTTTTTTGGATGATTTTCAAATAAGGATTAATAAATTAAATGGTTCTGATGTTAATTTTATTCGGTTAAGATATGTTATATATTCAAAATAGGGGGATGCAAGTATTATCCTCTTATATCATTCTACGTGTTATGACACAAAAGAGCGACAATGCTAATACGGATATATTAATAAAGTAAATACACGTATTATAATATGAGTAAAATAATAAGATTATGTAAATGTGTTCCAAGTATACGGAACAATCTCTCTACAATACACACAGCATAGAGAGGGGAAAAAATTAGGGTTTTTTGGTGCCACCACTATAACCCCATTTCAATGCCCCACGGTTTTGTGAGAGGCTCTCCGCATGGAGAGCGAGAGAGAGGCAAAAAAAAAAAAGGGATAATGAGTGAGGCAGTCTAAGCATGGCTGACTTTTGCAAGGGAAAGCAGTGAGTAAATGCTGATTTGCTGGCCGTTTTGACTCCTTCTTTACTTGCTTCGTTCAGCACTCACCATGGCCTTCTGTCTTCTCTTCTCTCTTCTCTATTTATATCTTGCTATCTATCTACAAGACAAGCCCAACTTACCTGCCTTGGACGCTTGTTTTTGTAATCCTTCATCCGTTCAGAGAAGAAAAAAGAGAAAAGAAGAGGCAACTAACCTTCTCTCTTCATTTTATCTCGGAGATTTGTCAAGAGAAGAATAAACCCTTTTTTTTTGGCAACTGCCTCCAATCTTCTTGTGAGATCAATTTCTTCATCCGTTAGAGTTGCCTAGTGGGAATTAGATTATTTGGAAATTATGGGAAGGCCACCTTGCTGTGACAAAGTTGGTGTGAAGAAAGGGCCATGGACTCCAGAGGAAGACATCATCTTGGTCTCTTACATTCAAGAACATGGTCCTGGGAATTGGAGATCAGTTCCTACTAACACTGGTAATTAAAATTTTCTATATTATTATTACCTTAATTTTTTTAATTAAATTTGAGCTAAGCTACTTTGAATACTCAATTTGTAATTTCATATTTATTCTTGGTAAACGATTTATACTCGCTTCTGTTTATTTCTGTCAATTGATTTTTCTTTGCCTTGTTCGATCTAAAAACCAAAAATAAACAGAGAGTGCATGCGGAGAAAGGTCTGAAGCAATCATTTCCCATTTTAATTCTTTCTTCGTTTAGATTGTAGAACAGTACTATCCTGCATCTTGTGTAAGTATATGTGGTACTCTTTTTTTTACCTATCTCGTTTTGGTAATAACTGGTTTCAGATTGGGGTTGGTTTAATCATTAAAGTAATGTAATTATGACCTGGTACTGGTTTTTTCTTCTCGGAACAAGTACTATTACTGCAGATGCGTGTTCTGATCATATTGATTATTGACAGTAATTTTATTTTGGTCGGAATATTGGCAGTAATTTTTAATTAATTACTTCTTCTTTTTTCTTTTTTCTTTTTTCAGGTTTGCTGAGATGCAGTAAGAGCTGCAGACTTAGATGGACTAATTATCTCCGCCCGGGTATCAAACGCGGTAACTTCACTGATCATGAGGAGAAGATGATAATCCACCTCCAAGCTCTTCTGGGCAATAGGTAACACTTCCCCTCATCTCTACGTTTTTATTTTTGTATTTGTATTTTGTTTTTTTAGTGAAAAACTTGAAATAAAACATTACATAGAGGATCCTCTTCGGATTCTATTAATTGAAAATGAAATCTTAATCTAGAAATTATTACATTTGGAAAATTACTAAACCAAATAGCTTTCACCTCATATCTACTTATTCCCATGTTTTTTTCTTCCAAATTTGAATTTATATTTTTATATGTTTGGGGCATGAATTTTATGAATTTGACTTGATTAAAGTATTTTTAATTTATTATTTCTTTTGTTTTTTGATATGGGGGTTAGATACTCTCAAATCCCAATAGTGAAGTTCTTTATATTGTTGTTGGATGATATATTATATATTATGGGTTTGGAGAAGAATATATGGAAGTGAATTCTTTAATTTTCATTTTTTAAATCAGAGTAAATTAAAGGGAGAATAATTGGTTTTATTGTTTTGTAATTCCTTAAATTTGATGATGAAATTTTTTAATGGGTGCAGATGGGCAGCCATAGCTTCATATCTTCCTCAGAGAACAGACAACGACATAAAAAATTACTGGAACACCCACTTGAAAAAGAAGCTGAAAAAGCTTCATGCAGGGCTTGATGGTCATGACCATCACAACCACCAGGATGGTTTTTCAGGTAATTCACATGATCAGCCAATCTCCAAGGGTCAGTGGGAGAGAAGGCTTCAGACTGATATCCACATGGCCAAGCAAGCTCTTTGTGAGGCTCTCTCCATTGACAAACCAAATGTTATTAGTACTACTACTGCTTCTCATGACCTTCACTTGCAAGACTTGAAGCCCTCCATTAATATAGGTAATTACAATATTAATGATAACCCTAGCACTAGCACAAGGCCACACCATACCTCCACGTACGCATCCAATGCCGAAAACATTGCAAAATTGCTCGAAAACTGGATGAAAAACTCGCCAAAGGTTTCCGTTCATCAAACAAACTCGGATCAGACCAATGCTGATCAGACCATTTCCTTCAACAACACCAACAACGACAACGACAACAAAGGTGGCGCTACTGCAACTACTATAGGTCGTTCAATGAGCACTTCTAGTGAAGGGGCGAACAGCGCAACCACCACGGCGGATCAGGCTTTCGATTCGTTGTTCAGCTTCAACTCATCCCCATCGGATGTGTCTCAGTCCATGTCAGTGGATGAGAACAATGCAAATTTCATAGCAGATCAGGCAAGCTGTCTGTTTCAGGATGAGAGCAAGCCCAATTTGGAGGGACAAGTCCCTCTCTCATTGCTGGAGAAGTGGCTCCTTGACGATACTGCACCTCATGCCCACGAAGACCTAATCAACATATCATTAGAGAATGGTGCAGGCTTGTTTTGAAAGAAAAAAAAAACAAACAAACAAACAAGATCAAGTACTATAAATAGGGTTTCTCTTATTTAAAACAAAAGATGATCGAGTACTTAATTAAGGTTTCTTTTGTTTAAAACAAAAGATCGAGTACTTAATTAAGGTTTCTTTTGTCTAATTTCTTTGGAATTAGGCTTTTGAGCTTTGTAGCTAGCTAGCCATCCTTGTAGTACTCTTTTTATTTTGTCAACTAGCCTAAGCAGAAAGATAACACCACCTTAATCAAAAAACAGAAAAGTGTAAATTAATTAAAAGTATATCCATACTTACATATCTGCTTTTGCTCTGGAGAATAATGAATCAAGCTGTTTAATTTCTATTTTTGTGGACCTTATTGGTAGGTAGGTAAAAGTTGTGTATATCTATTTAATTTTTACATATCAGTTGTGCAGAAAGTATGGGAATATCATAATTTTGGTTTCCCCTCGAACTATACATATAGGCAAAAAGCTTAATTCCACAGACCATGATAAGCATAAATCTTAAAATTCAAACTTGTCTAACGATGATAAACAGGGTAATGAGCATATACCACACTAAATGGTGGTGAGTAAAAATGCACTCATGAAATTAGGGGAATTTGTGACATCCCACATCGCCCAGGGGACTGATCCTTATATGTATATTCCATCTCTACCTAGCACGAGGCCTTTTGGGAGCTCACTGGCTTCGGGTTCCGTAGGAACTCCGAAGTTAAGCGAGAAGGAGGCTAGAGCAATCCCATGATGGGTGACCCACTGGGAAGTTGCTCGTGAGTTCCCAAAAACAAAACCGTGAGGGAATGGTAAGCCCAAAGCGGACAATATCGTGCTACGGTGGTGGAGCGGGCCCGGGAAGTGATCCGCCCCGGGCCGGGATGTGACATTTGGTATCAATGTGACAGAATTCATGAATGATAATGTACGGTTTAGTACTAGGGTTTCACTATGACATTAGTGTCGGCAGGAGAAATAAATTTTGCTGTGAATGGTAGGTTCAATATTAATAATCGCATTAATTTTGTTTAAACTTGTTTGTCTAGTTTTAAGAAAAGAAAGTATAGCCTGTAAATGTACAGTAATTAACATTTATACCATATCTATTTTCACTAGATCGTGTGCCTGTATGCTCTCGGATTAAATATTCTGTAAACCAGATAATTAACCTTGTACTATACATGTGTACTATTACGTAAGTGTTGATTAACGTACTTATTTTTTATTGGTGACACATTATTTAGTTTACAAATTTAATCTACTTAGCAATACTTATATTATATTCCAAAGAACGCAATCTGTATTCATATCCTTTCAAGAAAGAGAAATCGCTTCATACCTCGGATTTTAAAGATTACATTTCCCTCAAAGAAGTGCTAACCAGTAATCACAATTAAGCTAGTAATTAGCCTCCGACAAGTCAGAATTCCAGTGCATGAATGATTTTCCTAAGTACGGTATAACTTTTGACCTAGTTTCTTCTCAATTACAAGCCATTTTGAGGCAAACCCTAATTAGATGTTTTTCTTCCCAAACCTAATAGATTGCCATTCGGCTATATCGGTGTCGACGGTCTTATCTTTCATTGTCAAAATTCTTATTCTCAAAATTAAGAGTGGGTTCTGATGAGTGTGAGACGACATAGGAAAATCTAAAGCCAAGAATTGCCTTGGAAATATGCAAAATGAAGGCCTTAAATGCAAAACATGTGAACGGTTTGACTATATAAATTTAAATTATTATTTTTATACAACAATATTCGATTCAAAATGAGAGGGTATTATTCTAGTTAAGAGGAGAGGGACTGGGGTAGGCCACTAGTTAATTAGACATCGAATTCAATACAAATATCACATATTATCGTCATTTATAAGTAAAGAAAAATAATAAATGTTAGTTCATCTTATTATTTAGTTGGACTTGCTTGACCACTAGTCACAACTTTGACGTACACTAAACTGTAAAGTAAAATCATTGGATTTGGAGGATCGATGCGGCAAATGCTTTATATATGCACAAGTCTCTCATGAACAGTGCTTTATCCTCCTCCCCTTTTTAATTGGCATCGCATTTACAGCAGAAATTTATTGAATCACTGCACAGCTTGCACACAGATTCACAGACTAGCTGCGGCATGTCTCTGCGGTCCTCAGTAATGTCTTCAACTTCAGAGCTACAAATTGAAATAGTGACTTACTGCTAGGCCTAATTTTTGACAGAAATCCAACCTCCAATTCAAAGGAAGGAGGAAGCTCCGTTTGAGACACAGACATTAAAGTAGTGCAGATGCGTGGATCGTGGGAGAGTAATGGATTTTTAAGCCAAAGTCATGAGAGCACATGTTTCTCGCCAGAGTGACAACCAAGCTTAACCTCATTTTAATACTCTTGAGTACATTGATTACTCACTTAAGTAGACACTTATTAGTTATTATAATTAGGCCCATCACAAGTGGAGTGCCATAGACTCAAATTATCGGTTGTTTATGAGTGATTGCGGCAAGCTGTTAATGCAAATTAAAGTTTACAAACATCAAGGGTTTACAATTATTCACGCGCGCACTTGTGCAAGTGAACTTTGCATTTCTTCCAATGACAATTATCTCAGGAAAGACTTCCCTATCCCATAATAATATAAAGAAAAGAAGTGGGGCACAGAAATTAAACAATTCTTCGATTTTCTCTATCAAATAGACCGATTAGTAGGACACAACCATGTGCATCTTAGACAAATGAGTTGTACTATCCCAACTCAAAACCTGATTAAGGAAATCATGTGGTACATACAAGTTTTTCATAAGTAGATCGATCTCAGCAAGACACAACTTAGGTGGCTTGGTCCCGTGGGAAATGGGGACCATTGCCTTATCTCACAGTATTCTTATGTAAGTAGGGTTTCTGCTGAGCTTTCAAATTGTTCTGTTTCATCACCATAAAAATGGCCAGCAAACTTCTAAATCATATTCAACTCATGATATGCAGCTAGACTGGAAGTGGCCACAATTAATTCCATCACTAAAAGAAGAAAAATCACACTTACATATTATTTGTTATTCTTTTACTCTATCCATATCATGTTAGGTGGATTAATTTACAGTACTTGTGCAGTGTATGCTTATAAAAAAAACGTGTTTTCATTGTTCTTTGAATTACTTCTTGCCTGCCAGTTAGGTGTGTGGGATTAGGAGAAAAACTAAGAGTTGTAAATTAACTTTTGCTCCATGTTTAGTGACTAGGATTACATTAGATTGGATAACTCACAAAGTTTAATGTACATTGAAGTAAGAAACAAAAGCTAACTTTTAAGTTTTGTCCGAATTGAAAGTAGGCAGTGCAACCGTACAATTTTTTGGGGTTAGTGGTGGATTGTCCTAGTGATTACATCCATCTAGTTCCTTCTTCTTGAACACTTGAACACATAATAATAGTCTCTAGAAAGTGGTGAATTGCTCTCATTGTTAGGACATTCACCTTTAATCCACTTGGTCCCGAGTTTAAACCGCCGCCTTCCCATAGAGTGAAGTAGTGTGAGATATCGTGGGACATAGTACATACAAAGCATCTGTGGATGGGTATTTCAATTTGTGGGGATATCGTGGTACATAGTACATACAAAGCGTATTTGGATGGGTATTTGTGGGTATGACTCACACCCAAAAAGGTAATTAGGCCCGACAAATCCGGGGGATTCGGCTAAGCCCAAAGCAGGGTTGATATCTTGCCATCTTGGTCCACACTTAACCCTAACTTGTTGTCCATCCATGCCTCTTCCAAACCCTAAAATCAAAGGTTTCTTCTTTCTATTTTACACAAAAAAAAAAAAAAACCTTGCCCAATTACTTCCTGCAATTTTCCGGCGACTAAACAACAGAGCACAAAGATAGCGAAGAAAACAGAGAGGAGTAGTGTAAATATCTCCGGGAAAGCCAAAGCACTGTTTGCACGTGAGCAGCAGGAAGGCGAAGAGCAAGGCGCAGCCACGGTACGGTACGTCGGTGCATATAGATACAATTCTGTCATATTTTCTCTCTTTTGGGCTTCGGCCAAACCCATATATCCTTGTAAACTGTAATAAGTAATAACTTATTCAATTAAAAAAATCAAATGGGTATTTAGAACGTAGTAAATGTAGCCTTTCAGTATAAATCATATGCCTTGGTATTTTACTTGTTCCACATTTTCAGCCTCCCCCCATTTCGAATCCTAGCTTAGCCCTTGTATATGTGATAATGCGTCAATATCATGTAGTAAACAAAACGGTTTCTTATGTTCGTGCGAATTTTTATGGAACTAGGGACATAGATTAGACGCAGTTTGAATTTTTCCGTGCAAATCACTAAAACTCTACTTCTGTTAAATGGGCTGTTGCTTTGGCTGATAAAAAAGTGCCCTGATATCGCTTTTGTATCGTTTTAAAAATACCTTTAATCTCAACAAGAAACCACAAAGTCACAAACAACAATTTTAAGCTAGGTTACTAGTTATGTTCCAATTCCCTCGGTCACATTTTTGTTTTGTTGGACATTCACCAAAGCTTCAATGATTTTCATTTACCATTTATATTTATGCTTGTGTGTATGTTAATGTTGATATATAATGCTGCTTAACATCGAATGTCATCTACTAAGTCCCACTGACTTGTTCTAGTCAGACTTCTTATATGCATGCGTGGTTGCAATATTAGTCATGTTAACTACATCGGAAGAATAAAAAAGATGAACACCATAAACGGTGAAGAGAGAGAGAGAGAGAGAGAGAGAGAGAGAGAGAGAATGAGTAGAAATGATCTTTCGTTAACTGTATACAATTACAACACTAGCTCATATAAACCTCACCACAGTACCCACTTTAAAGTTAACTAGCTAAGAGCTAATTAACGGATTTGGATCCTAGGGATCCTCACATCTTAGTCATTCATCGTGCATCGTGCGGTTAGAAATTATTTGACTTTTTTTTATTAAAATTAAACACAATTAGTATCTGACGAAAACTGACCGT